TTAAATTTTAATTATAAATTGTTAATTGTTAGTATGATTTAATTGTGCCCAACACTGGTACGAGGGAAAATCATCGCAACAGAAAAAATTACTGATTACGTTGAACGCGTAATTCCCAATTATACAATGCAGAGGCTCGACTGTCGGGCCTCACGCGGGGTAATGCAATCCCGAGAACCAAAAATTTCTCTTCTAGGTTAGAAGACGAACGGAACTTGCAGTGAAAATGTGTTCCGAATTATGCAAGAAACGCATAGACCGCATGAACGCATTAGACGCATCAACTGCCTCAAGTCAAAAGAGAAGCAGTCAATGCGCTGGGAGGAGTGCTAAGAATTCAGTACGGTTAGTACACTCTAGGGAATTCATAGCTCTCTCGAAGCGCTTTCGAAGCGCGCAATAGCTAATTCGGAACGACTTTCTATGTACTCTACGCGCTTTATGCGCAACTCGGAACGCACCCGGTGTGTTGCTCAGCGCGCAACGTGGGGAACTCTTCCTGGCTCACTTCGCCGGGTCGAGCGGTGCTGTCAGCTCAACTCACTGACGGGGAAAGAGTGCTTTGTCGTGTTTTCGAGGGCCTTTTATACGGTTAGCTCGTGGGCGCGGGAGTGAGTGCGGTGCGGGGTGAGACGGCACGAGGTGGGGCGTAACGATTCGCTTATTGTTAACGGCTCGTGGCCCGGTGACTCGTTACAAATTCTTTCGTTGAATATAAGTTGGCAAGCTTTTCTAAGACTAGTAACAAGTATATCTTAAAACTATTATTAAGAAAATATTCTTTGTTGGAGCAAACTATTACTTAAACGGAATAAAATAAACTGAGTAATTACTTTTCTTGACTGTACAATAATATTTTTCTGTGTAGCATCAGTTGATTTTATTTAATTTCGGTCCATTGCTTGAGTATACTGGCTATCTGGGTTATACGTTTTTGAGCATTAACGTGTATATTATTTCATTATATACTTCAGATTGGATTATTTAAAATGCAAATATATTAAATCCAGATTGTTTAAATTTACAAGCTAAAATATAAATATTTTTTAGCTTTCACTGCATAACACAATTCTTATAATAATATCTTGAATTGTTTTCATTTCGCATTATAGTATACTTAATTTCGCTCCTTTTCTCTCTCTTTTCATATACTCATTGATTACTAATTCTTATTCCTAATATTTTCTCTATTGCGTGCAGGTCTTTAAGCCTTGATTCGTTTGACGGATTGTGGACGGAACCGGACAAATGAAAACACGCTACGTATGTATGTACCTTAAGTGCCAATACGTGCGCGGGTCATGTCACATTTGTTTTAGGTAGCGTGAAATAAACAGCTTGTATTCCGATCACAGTCTCCCTCAAACTCACTATCTAGCATGCCGAGTGTTTCTGTGATTTCCTATTTTGTAAGTTATTATCTTAAATAATAATAATTATTATAAAATAATAGTTTTGCCTTCCTTACAGTTTAAAATGGCACCAAACAATAAGAAGGTGAAGAGAAAGAAACGCGTGGATTTGAATGTGATGCAGAAATTACAGCTAATAGAGAAAGTGGAACAAGGCGCCTCGGTTAAGGATGTTTGTAAAATTTATGACGTAGGGAGAAGTACCGTCATCGGAAT